TGACGTTTGTTCTCATCCTTAGAACCGTGATGCAGCTCGTACTTCACAGGCCGTGAGGGACTTGGTTAGAGAACAGACACTCAAAAGGTATCAAGTGTTTTGCTATTTTCTTTGTTAAATATTCAGTCTGTTTTGACTTCCTTTCATCTCTTCCGTGTCATTTCACTGATTCTCACTTTCGCTTCCTTGACTTTCTCTGTATTTTTACCGACGAGCGTGAAGGAAACTGAATTCAAAATTTTCTTGGATGTACGATCGAAGGCAAGCTTATACATAGACCAGTTTGAAAGAATTTTTATGAAAACTGACTTGTCAGCGGGAAAGGAATGAATCAACAGTCAGTATTTTGCTTCATCGGCCAAAGCACATTTTCATTGTTTAGCAAATGTTTAGCATCCACGGACGAGGTAACTTCAATGAAAATTCTAGTGGTGTACCTCAGCTTGCTCTGCTTTCTGTTTCATTATGATATTATTACTGTCTCGTGTCTGTAACCATCTTCATACAAGCTGTACAGCCCTTTAAAAATGTTAGTAACATCACCTTCAATTTCCAGCTCCAGCACTCACTCCATTATATCTTATTTTCTTTCCCATAGTGGCTTCTATTTCCATTCATCTGATTGGTGTTTGTTTATTAGTTCATTTGATAGGATGGCTGAAAAAGCCCAGCGCCAGGCGCTTGTTGGACGTGGTCCACAGACGGGACACAAGAACAAATCGAGTGTTAGACTAGGTTAAAAAACAATACGTTAACGAAATATTCTTCACCTATACCATGGCTATTTTATAAGTCAATTGTCTTCAATAAAAGGGAACATTTTGGCGTGATATGTGAGGCGCATGTGGAAAGATATTTTTTTCTCTTATTTAAAATCTTATCATTTAAAATAGGCCTCTATCGTATTTTGACATAACACTAGAATACTCGTCACATTCCTTGAAACACATTTACGTTACACTTTCTCCAATTTTGATTGAAGTATTACTCATTTGAACAACGAGTCTGAACACTGGGGAGGAAGAGAAGGAGTAGACAGTGGAGAGTTAAATAACGCGGTTAAGAAGGTGTGACATGAAAAATACTGTGTAGCTGACGGTTGTGTTGAAGCGCGATAAAAAAAAAATTGCGACGAACCCATGGAAAACGGGACGCAAATTTCGCGAATGAATCGTAAGATGCACGGGTCAGGCTAATATATAAGTCAATAGTGATAGCTCAGTTTTTATTCCAGACTATTGTGGGGGAATCATTACTGCAAAATGTCTGTGGCCTGAACAAAATTTTAAGTTCTGTTTTAATAGGATTGATGGAAATCCACGACGATGAAGACTTGCCAAACCATGATATAAGTCAGCGTTAATCATATTTGAACTAGATATAGCATATATTCACTTTGCGATGTTAGGATTGACGTACTCATGTACATACCATAACAAAAAAAGGCACAATGCAAAAAAATCATGATCATACTCAGTGTTTGTCTGTCATATTAGACCCCGTTACTTGAAGTAAAATGAAACAAAATGTGTAGGGTTCACCTCTTTAGCACTAGCTTGGTCCAGGGGCACCCAACGAGAATATAGTTCAAAACCACTTAAACATAACATTGTTGAACGTATTTTAGTATTTAAACGGTAGATAAAGGCATATTTTTGTCCCCTAAAAATTCTTCATCTGTTCGGATTTCCTAGCTGAAAGTCAGGTGATCCGAAAATTATAGGGATCAAAACTTACCTTTTCGAAAATTCCAGCCGGAAAAAAAGGTCCCGAAAATTCTAGGTGACCTTTTTAGGGTAAAAATCCGTTAAAAATGGGCAATTAAACCATTTTTTACATGTTCGAAAATCCTAGGAGAAGCAGGCAAGCAAGAAATTTTGCAACAAATGTTACGAAAATTCTAGATCTCAAATCGTCGTCCGAACAGATATTTTCCGAAAATTGACTTTGGGTGCCCTGTTGGTCGGGTCGTGCGCGTTATATTCTTGCGACAGTTGAATAAACTGTGTAAGCAGCTTTGTTGTGTTCTGTTTCTTCGGTATTTGTCCTCAGCTGGACTAGCTTAGTTCCCGTCTCCAGTAGAAGACGTATAAGTACTCTTATAAGTACTTTCGTGCTAAATGCATTGACATTCAAATTAAGTGTTTTTTTTTTTCCCTTTTTTATCCCCGTTTTTTTGGTGAGGATGAGGTGGGACTGACCGCGTCTTATTCAAAGCAACTATAAATAGGATTTAAGAGCTGCAACAACATGGATTGTCTAAAGGAGGGAACGTTATATTTACATCAGAGGTTCATTGAGTGTCAAGTTTGCAATTTTGAAGCGGACAGCCAAAAATTCATTTTTGTAACTCGGGAAAATTTTATCAAATATACATCAACAAGTCAAATATCATGAAGGTCGCATCTACTTTTAATAAAATCGTTACACGATTTCTACTGAAGCAACAGGGCTTTCACAAATAAACTAAAATATGACGACCTTGGTTTCTTCATGTCCAACCCGGTTATTTCCAGTGCAATTGGTTATTTTCTAGCGACAAAGGCAGAGAATGCCTTTGCTTTCCGCCAGGTGTTCCCACTGCCTCCCCATCCCATATGCAGGTACCACTCATGATCATAACGGTAGATCCACGGACCACAATGCCAACCGAAAAACCAAAAGCATATTCGCCATTTCTTGTATCTGAAAAGTAAAAAACGCATTGGTCGTGATGTCAGGCCTGGGGCCCGTTTCTCTACCGTCCCGATAACTTTTCAGGCCCGAAAAGCTGTTCTATGTTTGCCGCGTTTGTTTTCAAGATCAAAGTTTCAATAATTTTGACAATGATGCATTGAAACTATCAGTTAACGAAGCAAAATCTTAGTGAGCTAGGAAGTTTGCTACTATTCAAGTAGTTTTGATTTCAAAATTTGCCTTCGGGCCCGAAAACTTATCGGGCGTTTCGGGAAACGGCAGCTGTCATTGAGGGCCGGGGATTTCCCAAGGCTACTATGGGCACGACTACGGCTATTTTCGTAGGAATCAAGACTGAAAATAGAACCAAAAGAAATCCCTTGCTGTTCAGTTGTCCGCCAACTAACTGCACATACCCTGACCCGGCAACCTGAGAACTCAGCCACAGCCGTACCAGGGGGTGTGCCGGGCTAGCGCTAACTTTATGAACTGAAATCATGAGAGGTGCAGTGTATTTTTAATATTCTTCAAAAATACAACTTGTCTTTTTAACTATTCTTATAATCTACGTTTGCGCTCGTAGTTGAAAGCAAATGTAATTTTGACAATGATGGATTGAAACTATACGTAAAAGCAACTAGCCTTATTCGCTAGTTTCTTGTGTTGCCTCAGTGTACCTATCGTAATATTCTCAGGAGATTTGGTCCTTTGTCTTACTGGAATAGCTTGCACGTTCAATGTTAAAAGAGAATATAGAAAATCATCTGCATTGAAACAACAAATATACAGTGTGCAGGAAAGTATGATCTAGTGTGCATAAATGCAACCGCAGTAGGGGTCGGCTAGGTCACGTGCCATCCGATAGATACAACTGGGCGAACTGACTTGAATTTAACTTTACCTCAGCCACAGAAATCAATTAAACATTCTCACCTTGATCGGTATCTAGTAGCAACGGCGTAATGCTGAGATGAGCCGACCCAGATCCCCACGATGGCAGGATACCGGGCCTTGACGGCATTGATTGCGGAGTTTCTAATCCAAGGGCGATATACTGCAAAATGTCTGTGGCCTGAACAAAATTTTAAGTTCTGTTTTAATAGGATTGATGGAAATCCACGACGATGAAGACTTGCCAAACCATGATATAAGTCAGCGTTAATCATATTTGAACTAGATATAGCATATATTCACTTTGCGATGTTAGGATTGACGTACTCATGTACATACCATAACAAAAAAAGGCACAATGCAAAAAAATCATGATCATACTCAGTGTTTGTCTGTCATATTAGACCCCGTTACTTGAAGTAAAATGAAACAAAATGTGTAGGGTTCACCTCTTTAGCACTAGCTTGGTCCAGGGGCACCCAACGAGAATATAGTTCAAAACCACTTAAACATAACATTGTTGAACGTATTTTAGTATTTAAACGGTAGATAAAGGCATATTTTTGTCCCCTAAAAATTCTTCATCTGTTCGGATTTCCTAGCTGAAAGTCAGGTGATCCGAAAATTATAGGGATCAAAACTTACCTTTTCGAAAATTCCAGCCGGAAAAAAAGGTCCCGAAAATTCTAGGTGACCTTTTTAGGGTAAAAATCCGTTAAAAATGGGCAATTAAACCATTTTTTACATGTTCGAAAATCCTAGGAGAAGCAGGCAAGCAAGAAATTTTGCAACAAATGTTACGAAAATTCTAGATCTCAAATCGTCGTCCGAACAGATATTTTCCGAAAATTGACTTTGGGTGCCCTGTTGGTCGGGTCGTGCGCGTTATATTCTTGCGACAGTTGAATAAACTGTGTAAGCAGCTTTGTTGTGTTCTGTTTCTTCGGTATTTGTCCTCAGCTGGACTAGCTTAGTTCCCGTCTCCAGTAGAAGACGTATAAGTACTCTTATAAGTACTTTCGTGCTAAATGCATTGACATTCAAATTAAGTGTTTTTTTTTTTCCCTTTTTTATCCCCGTTTTTTTGGTGAGGATGAGGTGGGACTGACCGCGTCTTATTCAAAGCAACTATAAATAGGATTTAAGAGCTGCAACAACATGGATTGTCTAAAGGAGGGAACGTTATATTTACATCAGAGGTTCATTGAGTGTCAAGTTTGCAATTTTGAAGCGGACAGCCAAAAATTCATTTTTGTAACTCGGGAAAATTTTATCAAATATACATCAACAAGTCAAATATCATGAAGGTCGCATCTACTTTTAATAAAATCGTTACACGATTTCTGCTGAAGCAACAGGGCTTTCACAAATAAACTAAAATATGACGACCTTGGTTTCTTCATGTCCAGTCCGGTTGTTTCCAGTGCAACCGGTTATTTTCTAGCGACAAAGGCAGAGAATGCCTTTGCCTTCCGCCAGGTGTTTCCACTGCCTCCCCATCCCATATGCAGGTACCACTCATGATCATAACGGTAGATCCACGGACCACAATGCCAACCGAAAAACCAAAAGCAGATTCGCCATTTCTTGTATCTGAAAAGTAAAAAACGCATTGGTTGTGGTGTCAGACCAGGGGGCCCGTTTCTCGAACGTCCCGCTAACTTTTCGAGCCCGAAAAGCTGTTTTGTGTTTGCCGTGTTTGCGTTCAAGATCAAAGTTTCAATAATTTTGACAATGATGCATTGAAACTATCAGTTAGCGAAGCAAAATTGACTGTTAGTGAGCTAGGAAGTTTGCTACTATTCAAGTAGTTTTGATTTCAAAATGTGCCTTCGGGCCCGAAAAGTTATCGGGACTTTCGAGAAACGGCAGCTGTCATTCAGTACCGGGGATTTCCCAAGGCTACTATGGGCATGACCACGCCTATTTTCATAGGAGTCAAGACTACTAAGACTGAAAATAGAACCAAAAGAAATCCCTTGCTGTTCAATTGTCCGCCAACTAACAGCACATACCCTGACCCGGCAACCTGAGAACTCAGCCACAGCCCTACCAGGGGGTGTGCCGGGCTAGCGCTAACTTTATGAACTGAAATCATGAGTAGTGGTGCAGTGTATTTTTGATATTGTTCAAACATACAACTTGTCTTTTTAACTATTCTTATAATCTACGTTTGCGCTCGTAGTTGAAAGCAAATGTAATTTTGACAATGATGCATTGAAACTATCAGTACGTGAAAGCAAATGGCCTTATTAGCTAGTTTGTTGTGTTGCCTCAGTGTACCTAGCATAATATTCTCAGGAGATTTGGTCCTTTGTCTTGCTGGAATAGCGTGCACGTTCAATAGAAAATCATCTGAAATACGGTGTGGAGGAAAGTATGATCTAGTGTGCATAAATGCAACCGCAGTAGGTGTCGGCTAGGTCACGTGCCACCCGATAGATACAACTGGGCGAACTGATCATGACTTGAATTTAACTTTATCTCAGCCACATAAATCAATAAAACATTCTCACCTTGATCGGTATCTAGTAGCAACGGCGTAATGCTGAGATGAGCCGACCCAGATCCCCACGATGGCAGGATACCGGGCCTTGACGGCATTGATTGCGGAGTTTCTAATCCAAGGGCGATATATCCCAGGGAGACTGGACCACCAACTCGTGTAGGACGACAGGCTACCTCCCAAGGGACTCTGTCGGGCTAGGTACCAGTTCCACAGCTTGCTGTCGGTCATATCCCAGTGTGTTGTCGCTCCGCCTCCAAATAAGCAGAAAGTATCGACCTGCGCGCGGATATTTTCAACGTAATATCTGGGCTGTTTGATAAAGATACGAAAAAGGTTTAAGACAAAGGAGGCCGCAACTCAAGGTTTGAAATCTGATCCTGGTTTTTCAAACGTTGAATAGCGTTATCCATCGGTGCGCGTTTTCCATCAGCACGACCGATTTCCCGAGCGCTAATTGGTCGAGAGCCATGTTCGATAAGAGTATAAACCATCGAATGACGCGATGGTTCGGCTATTTGGTTTTCTTTCTCGCGCAGGTGATCTTCCTAGAAAATTCAACGGAAATGGCCTTAAAAACTGTTAATGCCATGTTATTGCGGCTCGTGGCTGCGCGTGAGTTTTGAACACTTTGATGAGAGGAACAATATTTTTTTCAGGGAAACGAATTGCGTTATCCACTGGATAGGGACTTATTCAGTGGATAGCGGCGTTATACACCCTTTGATCAATTGGAGCCTGGTCGCTAGATAATTTGTTTCAAGCCTGTGAGTATCTACTTACAGTGTACCAGGGTGGCTGGTATGCAGAGCTCCCAGAAACACCGTAATAGCCTTGATAGAGCTTCTTATTATATCCGTATGATGACGAGAGATGTGCCAATCTGTTAAATAAATAAGGATAAGTTCGTCAATAAAGACAACTGAGGCCAAGATTTTCTCCCATTTGGCGTAGAAGTGATCGGTTCAGCTAGTTGTTAGGAGTAACACTAGCGAAAATCCTAGGTTACCCACATTGACAGGTTATACGCCCTGATTTTAAATATGTAGCTAAAGGCAGGATCGGAGCTAACCGAAAACAAATAGCAACAGGTAAAAGCACTGCCCAGTAACTTTCATTTGAATGGTCACATCCACCAATAGGATTTTGTCTACAGACTCAATGAAGTTTGAAGTATCCTTGTACAGTATAATAAACAAGAAATATATTAAACGGTAGTATCATGTGAAATTACTGTCAAAGAGGCTTCCTTTGAATACCAGGTAGAGGAAAATCTTATCTACACTGAAAATTGAAAAGATCTGTTTCAGCCCTTACGTGTCAATTCAGACCTGCAGGCCAAAGTCTGATTCAGCCCTTCCTGGAGCCATTTGAGCACAATTTAGGTCAGAAAAGCTCAATCAAAAGGCTATTCCAGTCCACGGTAGGGTCCATTTCAGCCCTGGGACCAAATCAGCCCTAGCTAATTGGACTGTATTGGCCCTGATTTAAGGGAGCCATATTAGACTCAAAGATAGGACTGTATTTTACTCACCGAAACGGCCCTATTTTTAGGGCTAAAACAGATCTTTCTGATTTAGAGTGTAATGAAGTAACAGGAGATGAAACATACTTCGCCCTATGTAAGGCTATCCAAGAGAGCCTTGGATACTGGATTCCAGGGATTTCACTCCGTAGATTCCAGATTCCAGGTACTTGATTCCGGGATCCTTGAGCTGAATTCCGGATTCCAGCACCCAGGATTCCAGATTCCACAGGTAAAATGTAACTGGACTACCTTATATGGAGCGATACGCATTCTCGTCCCTAAGCCACTCGGCTTAATTCGTAACCAAGAAACGACGGGCTCTGGGGACGAGAATGGGGCGATACGCTAATAACGAGCTTTAGTATATACTAAAACAGTGGATAGTGTTTTTCGCGCGCTCTGATTGGCTACTCAAACAGTGAATATCCTGCACTATTCACTGATTCAACTCCAGTCCCTCCGAGCGAGCGACGCCAAACTCGCGTAAGTTGCGAGCAAAATGCCTTCCCGGTTTGCTACCGTAAACAAACAAAGAAATTTCACAACTAATCAAGCAAGCTGTTTCCGAAATACACGAAGAAGGTGACGAAGTTCGGATTGGAAGTTTTAACAGGTAAAGCTTTGTCTTTTTGACACGAATTTATCGATAAAACCGGTGAAGAAGTTTTTTGTCTACAAATGCAAATTAAGTTTACTAGTAAGTCTTGCGTTACTTTATTTATAGTTGGGTTGTTCATAAATAAGCTTAAAGCTAAATTTAATAATCTTTTTTTATAGAATGATTTTAAATACAAAAAGAATTCACAACTCCTTTTGAAGAAATTTCCCCGCAAGAGCTAAACAAATGTTAATTGTCGGCAAGAAAAAGCGACGGCCGCGGCCGCCCAGTCATACGCGCCAAAATTGTAATCGTTGGCAACAGTATTTGAGTTAAAAATCATCATTTTTGTGCTCAATTATCTCACTGTTTTAGTATATACTAAAACAATTATTCACCTCAGTGTCGGTGGCTAGTCGTGGATATTTACCTCACTGCTTCGCAGTTCGGTAAATACCATGACTAGCCACCTCCACTTCGGTGAATAATTGTTATTTAATTTACCTGTCATAATAAGCAAATATCTGTGCCCAGGCCACTGGTCCGCAGCCACTATAACATCCACAGCATCTGTGTTGGTTGTAGTTTGGAAACAAATGCGGGGAGTAGATACTCCAGTAGGACCACGAACTCCAACGTTTGGTCCGAGAGGTGTAGTTCGTCTCTATGCCAAAACGTTTTTCTACCACCGTTCCATCGGCTAGAGTCACTTGAATCCTAAAACTGACGTCTGTGTTCATGAGCACTTTCTGTACTGTAGGGTGATCTTGGTGAATGGCCAGCTCAAAATAATTAATACCATTCCGAGCGACGAAAAATAGTTGGCTGTTCACCACAGTCAGGTCGCGACCGGCACAAACTGAAATTTACGTACAGTAAACAGACATGAGAACAATTCATTACAGAAAACATTGCACCTTTTTTTTTTGACAGATTACGAGCAATTTTTGACCAAGATAACCATAAAAGGTTACTTCCAAAATTCTTGCAAGGTTAACTCTTTATCGTTGTGCTCTTGTTATGTTGAAAAAATATCGCATAATAAATTTTTCCTGCACCTCAATTTTATTACTATTTTTGTTTAGTTTTCGTTCTTAGTTTGGGATAAGGGGTTAACCAGGAACTGGACGCGACTATCAATGCGGAGCGAGAGAGGGACGGGGTGGGGGACAGGAAAGCTTTTTGCTTGACCATTTTCTACCGCCTACTCCCTAAACTCTAAGCTTACACTCCTCCCAGTTTACGGCAACGAGAACGTCAAAACAGCAATAGCAAAACAATAACATCGCACGCGCATCACACTCTATGGTACATTTGTTATCCTTTACTGCACGACTATAACGTGAAAATACTTAATTTCACCACGTTTCATGGAGACGACGAATTTTTCTCTCCCTCTTTCGGGACTTGCATATGTTTTCTCCTTACAGAGAAATATTCTTCGTCACCAACAATTTCTTGAACGTTGCACAGAGCGGAACCCATCCTGTCGCGGACCCGGCATCAGTGACGTTCGAAAAAGTGGGGCCAATTCAGTTAATAAAACTATAACAAGGGTAATTTACAAGTGTAGCTACTGTTTTTAGACCTTAACACAATAGGTGCAGTTGTATTAAATTAAACGTGGTACAAAAGTTTTATTAAATTGGCCCCTGGTGATGAAGAATATTTCTCGTAAATATCATGTCGCAACAGCAGATTCTTTATTCTTTGAACTCCACTGAGGAGAGTTTGTCTAGGTTTGACAGAGTCACGACCAAGTTTGAATAATCATGATGAAATCTCAAAGAACGCGAATTCACTTTTGTAGTGATCACGTGATGTTTTTGCCGCTGTCGCCGTCGTGCTATCTTAAACTTATCCTTGTTCCCAGAGGCCGCGATCCTTTTTGGTCAGCGTCCTAAACAAAAGGATCGCGGCCTCTGGGGAAGAGAGTGTCTTAAACTCTCCCATGTCTAAATGTGCTACGTATTGAAAAGCCACAACTCACCATTCCTCAGGACTTGACAAAGTCTCTTCTGCCATTCAGCGTTTGTAAGATCACTTTTTTTGCCACCTGTACCAGAGAACAGTATCCTTGGAGATACCTTAGACTGGAAGCGCAATCCCAGAGACACCCTGGCCTTAGATCCTGCCTCCAAAACATCTTCTCCGTATCTTTCTTCTTTCTTTACATTCTGTTTGTACTTGAGGCTCGCTCATTCACCTTCCTCGCCAACTTCGTACGAGAGCTCTTTCCATTCTTTGTTAAAGTCTGCAAGACTTAACTTTACCATTCCAGCTAAACTTTTCCACTGCGATGTATTAACCTGAAAATGAATACACAACTAATTTCCAGTCTCCGTGCGCATAGAAAAATTACGAAAATATTGTACAAAATTCAAGAAAAAAGTTAGCAATTTTTTGCTTGAATCTCATTTAACTCTTAAGTATTTTTAATATTTTTAAAATTGNTTCCTCAGGACTTGACAAAGTCTCTTCTGCCATTCAGCGTTTGTAAGATCACTTTTTTTGCCACCTGTACCAGAGAACAGTATCCTTGGAGATACCTTAGACTGGAAGCGCAATCCCAGAGACACCCTGGCCTTAGATCCTGCCTCCAAAACATCTTCTCCGTATCTTTCTTCTTTCTTTACATTCTGTTTGTACTTGAGGCTCGCTCATTCACCTTCCTCGCCAACTTCGTACGAGAGCTCTTTCCATTCTTTGTTAAAGTCTGCAAGACTTAACTTTACCATTCCAGCTAAACTTTTCCACTGCGATGTATTAACCTGAAAATGAATACACAACTAATTTCCAGTCTCCGTGCGCATAGAAAAATTACGAAAATATTGTACAAAATTCAAGAAAAAAGTTAGCAATTTTTTGCTTGAATCTCATTTAACTCTTAAGTATTTTTAATATTTTTAAAATTGGTATTTTTTGTCTGAGATAAAGGATTCTGAGAAAAAAAAAACTCATCTAATATAGATGAAACAAAACGAATAGACTGGTACAATAATCAGTGTCAGTGTATTTAGTATATAGGCTGGCTCTGTTATACGACGAAGAATGAACTAACTTTTCATCGAAAACAAACATTAATAAATAACAATGAAAAACTGATTATAATATAATAATCATAATCATAAAAATAAGTCGTCTGGCTGCAGCCCTGAGCTCGGATTGTCTTGCTGGTGAGATTGTTTTTCTTAAAGGTATGACGGCAGTCATTATTTTTGTTGCGGCAGTGGAGAAAAATGTAGTAAGCCTCCAGATAGAGGTACCTTTTAATCCCGGAGGGTGACTCCCATATAAAAGGGCGGGGATGCTTGTCGTCTCGCTTTGAAATTTCGGATTGGTCTCAATTAACTAAAGGGCAAAACGCCATTATATTTAGCCTTAAAGGTCACTTTTAGGCCGGTTTGCACGCGAAGAAATACATAAAAAAAATTATAAACTATATATTTTCAATTCGTTTTACTTACTCGATTTACTGTAATCAAAGTTAGTCTATAACACCAACACCTAAAGAAAGTTGTAACAAAATGTCTTTGTCCATTGTTATAGTAATAGGAAACTCGTAAACTACGTGCAAAGGGGTAGATACAAAATTTGACTGACCACTACCAACTTTCAACCTTCGTAGTAAATAGTATATGATGCCTCGATATTGTTTAATGATATATTGCAGTTACAGTTCTTTTCAACATTTTCAAGTTTGCTTTTTCACTACATGCCAAAGATACAATGAGCGAATATGATAAACTTAAGATTTATGACGATGCCTTTTAAAACAACGCATTGGTAAAAGTATTCGATGATGATGTCTTTGCTATCATTAAAAGTCGACGCTGTAATTTTTATTTGTCTGTGTTTTAAAATGGTCTCTTTTAGGGGTCAAAAAAAGGTTAGGCCACGCCCAGATTGGTCTCCTTTAGGGGGTTTAATGCAAAATTTCCGACGAGCATCCCCACCCCTTTCATATGGAATTCCCCCCGGGCTTTTAATTCCAAAAATTGCAAAAATTACAGACTAACCGGCGCGTTTGAAGTCCAGTTATACGTGGCGGCGACAGGAGTTCCACGCTGATCTTCACACATGTACAACCCAGCCTGGCTAAGACGGTAATGCCTGTAACAACTCTGGCCATTCTTTCTTGCTTGAATGTTTAGCGCATCAGTTGGTCGGTATTGCTGAGCAGTAGCATTGATCTCACCGCTCTCCACAAACCGGTTATCACCGGTTTTGGAACCAGCTGATAGAAGATAGAAATCCTTCCCGTCACCGCTTAGGATTTCATAGTAGGCGATATGATTTGTGCCCAGGTCCTTGCGGTAAATAGGCCGTGGTCCGTCTTTCATTAGCAGGTTGGTGGTTACCAGGCCACTGAAGCCTTTCTCGGTCATTAGATCAAGAACTGTATCTTGGGCTTCGTAGGACAGAAGTGCGCTGAGCGACAGCTGTGTTACCACAGAAACAATTAACAAGACCGCTATTAACCTTGGGATATCCATTATACAGTTCGGAGGCCTAAAAATAGAAGTGAAAATGTTTCAACACGCAAAAACGGCTGTTTTAATGACTTTGAAGAGGTAACGTTATACAATGCTTTCAAAAAGCCACTGGTGACTTGACAAAAAAAAATGTTCAAAACTGGAAAATACTATAGTTTTCGCACGAAATGAATATATATAGTGATAGCGTAAAGTATTTAAAAAAGAGTTATTAGAGTAAGGAGACCGCGAGTAAACGTGGGGCACAACGGGCCCTTGAAGTCCACATTTAGTCCCCCCTCCCCCTCCCCCTGCATTAGTATTATTCATTTCACTGCATGTGGTGAACAAGTTTGCCGGAACCAAAAACACTGTCAAATTTCAGAAAACCCGTGCGAACTGTGCCACTTGCTTTTTAAGAAGTTATGGTGGCTCTGAAATTCTTCGTAACAGTTCTTTTAAAGTTTGCAACTGAATATCAACAAGTTGATTTGCTCAGTGAGGTCACATATAAGTCAAGGAATCCTTTCCAAGTAATTTCAAAAGCAATTGTAATACTATAAGTTTTATACAATCACTTACCCCTATCTGGGCCAGGCCACTTCGATTCTCTTCAATGCAGCACAAGATCAATGACAATTCTCATCCCGTTGCCTGTTATTTTATAACTGATTGTGGGAACTTGAAAGTGTTGTTTTCGCTTGTACCACTCCATTCTACTCAATTTCCAATTACTCAGCTGTTGCCTTTTCACATCAGAGGTGTTTAAACAATAGAATATATTTGACACAAGGAACTTGGTTTATTTACTAACTCTTTGAGTTTCTCCTCGCGTTATATGCATGGTTGACATCTTTATGTCATTCAATCGGACTGTACACATACTAAAAGGTGTAGATTATGTGTTCACAAAATTGTCTTTGTACACTATTTTCCACGTTAAGGGTACGTTTTAAGGGTATTTAAAGCTAGTTAAAGCTACACAGAAAGGAGAGAAGTATTGAAACAAAGATGTAATGCCACCGGGGATCGAACTCGGGACCTCGCGCGCCGAAGACCTCTCACTAACCCCTGACGGTGCCTTCCTTGCCCCTCGTGCACACATAGTCGTGTTGGCCCTTGTGCTGGCCCAGGCCCGTGGATCGAACCTGGGACCTCCCGTTCTTCCAGGGGCCAATTCCCTAAAGTGTAACTTTTATCAAATATTCAAATCAAAATCTAGGGAATAAAAGCGCCTGTCCTAGCTAAGAAATCAGTCTATTTTGTGTTTTGAACTGATAGTTTAATAATAGTATCTGTAACACTATTAAGACCTGACCATCTTGAATATAAACAAAAACAGCATTTTGTGTCCGTTAACATTGGGACTTTCGCAACAGGACCAATCTAACCCATCAAAGCCCACGAAGTTAGTATTCGTTGCCATCAAATATCGCTGTTTTCTGATTCTACTGACACGTTTTTTTTCTTAAAATTGCCATAATTACTCAAGTAAGTTGATACCACCTATTTAATCATCTGTTCTAAATCACACTTGATTTAACGTGCGTTCGTGTGTTTAGTATTGTTTCACTAAGTGCTCTAAAATGGTTGTTTACCTTTCTACGGGTCTATAATGGCAGCTTCATTTTTTTTTGGCAGAAAATAACATATGAGCTGACATATGTGAGAAAAATATCACTTGTTCCTAGCTCGTATTGGTAAATCAACAGCGATGTGTTTTAGTGTTTAGTGATACATTATGTAGCTATTCTAGCTTACGAGTTTGTGGACGGAAAGTTAATAAAGTTCTGAAGGTAGTTTAACTCTTCTGAGTCTGTGGACGAAATCCAATAGCCATGATGATCATTCAAATGAACACTCTTTGGCAGTAGTTTTGAGTGGTACTATTCTTTATGCTGTATAACATAGTTAAAACTTTTAGTCTTTGAAAGAAAACCTATGCTGAGTCACGGCTGCCACTCCAATGAGACGTCCCTGGGAGTCCTTGCAAGTTGCTTTTTTATATTTATAATATTTTACAAACTGAATTTTATGAAAAGAAAAAAAGGTGCCGTGACAAAAAGAATTTCTTTCTAGCCGAAAATATCCAATAATCACTTTCTTTATCTCTAAGTTTTATTTACATTTGACTTAAAACCACTTATTTTTACAGCTCAATAAATAAATTAGCTTCCATGAAATAAATAAATTAATTAAATAAATAATAATAAATAAATAAATAAGTAAATAAATAAATAAATAATACCCTAGATTTCTCGACTTATAACAGACAACTTTTGTTATCAGTTAAACTAAACACGCCTCGTCCAGGTAAGCAAATTTTAAACTACATATCGAGCGTGACCATCACTACACGGGCCCCGGGTTTAACGACACCTCAACCAACCTTGAATTCAGTGAAGTTCTTTCTGCAGTTTGAAAATCTAGCAATTATCAACCTAAGATCTTTCACGTGACAATGATTGCATTTTCGTGCGATTTCTTGTGCAAACTGCATCACGGATGTTGGTACGCAAACCTGAAGCAAACAAAAGCATCATAGTTCATGGTTAGTAAAAGACAGCCACCAAGGTTAGGTCTTTCATACAGAGGAGTAGATGTGTCTGCTTTACAATTATTTTGCGTTTTTTTTTTTCCGTCAAATAAATGTCCTGTCAGAAACTGTGCTTAAATTGAAGGTGGCTCCTCCCAACACATGTTGTGCAAGTGGTAAATGATTTAATCAAGCCGAACACCAATAATAAAACTGCACACATTTTCGCACGGGTAGGGAGCTTAAGTAACGACGACGGCGACGGCAATGAGAACGGCGAAAAGGCAATAGGTTTAGATTAGCAAAACAACAACTTTGCACGTCCATCACGCTTTTTTGGTCTGATTCAGTTGATTAGTTCGACGCGTCCTAGGTTCGACGTCTAACCTATCAGACGATCTTAACCTAACTGATGAAAGTCGACCAAGAGCCATCGTCTTCCAATAAACACTAAGTCGCACGCTTTAATATAACTTACCGCAACATTTCTTTTCTGAAGCAGTTCTTTCAGTTGCTCACAAAAGTGTGATGGCCTTGTCCAATAACCAAGGTTCTATGGATTTTTTTCTCTGATTACAAGAATAACAGTCAAAGTTACTCAATGACGACAGTATTTATTTCGTATACTTCAATCTATAGACAGGTTCTATTGTTACACTGAATACATTAAATCCATTTATTACTCATTCAAAATATTTCCCCAATTCTTATTGGCTAAAAGCACACGCATAATTCGCCATAACCAGTTACTGATGACCAAATTTGGAAGAATTTTGTGTTTAACGAGAAAATGACGTCAAAAATGCAGCGTTCTTGCAGGTTAAGGCACCGTTAACCGAGAAGACCTGGGGACGAGGTTGAGTTGTTTTGGTTGTGAAAACAAAAACGGTGGACATTTCACTCTTTTCAAGAGTAAGAACTAGACGAAATTATAGCTAAATACATGGCAAGAACAGCAAGAACACAACTCGAAGGGCTACATGTTCTATTTGGAGTACATTTGCGGAGCGCAGAAACCCTAAACGTGTACTACCGAAGGTGAACTTAACATCGATGGAGGTAAGCATGTTTTAGCTTTGTTTTTAAACTAGGAATTATTTTGAATGAATAATAAAACAATTATTGAATTCGGCTTTCGTATCATATGAAGAATTATGAAGATCTCGTAGGGTGTTATCTGCACCTCGATCTCCATAATTCTTCATAAGATACTCAGCCTCATTCATTAATTGTTAAATAACAATACAGATTTAACCAAGCCAAAAGCGAAGCTTCAGTTTGTAGACTTAATAATAAACTTCCATTCCATTCCATTCAGCTTTTAAGGGGTGACCATGGGAGATTTAAGAAAAAAAGTATCCGGCCAACTGACCTACAAAACATTTCTCACCGAGCTAAACCCTTATATAGCAAAAAATAATAATGAATAAAGTTCGATAACAGTAGTAGCCTTAAAGGGGAATTTTTGCCCGAATCCGCGTCACATAACTCCTCACCACACCTGTTTTCGAACTTATCACAATCAGCCCCTAAATAAAACAAAATTAAAAGGTGCCTTTAATTCACGCACGCACATACTCTTCGGTGGAGGCCAATTTACAGGTTACCATTTTTAGGGTCGATTCTCCAGTATAAAGGAAAGACCTAAATAAAAAATTGGGCCGATTTTTGGGTTCACCGTGAGCTTTTATATGTTTTCTTTGCAAAATCTCTTAATATCTCGACATCCGCACACTAACGCAGGAACCAATATTGTTAATTACAACCAGTCACACTAACGACATCGAAGCAGGTACGTGATAAACATAATTATGCGAATAATTAATGTAAGTGTTAGTTCATGCTATAAGCTCAGTGAAAAGGTGTCAACCGGAATTTTCTCACCACATGACCGATGACCTAGCGAAAAAAAAAAGAGGAACAGCTTTGACGACGCAGACATGATGGTGAACCAGACAAGCTCATTACCACCAGGCATACCTACATTTCTTTCAGCTCTAAATTTTATTCTTTCCATCACCGCATTCGTGGGGAACACACTGATCCTGGTGGCTCTTTATAAAGTGCCTTCTATTCATCCACCGACAAAACTGCTATTTCGATGTCTTTCAGTCACTGATCTTTGCGTTGGCCTTTTTCTGCAACCATTGTATACTATCCGTATACTAAATAGTGCGACAAAGATAATTAGCCCTGGGAATTTGTTCTACATCATCGAAGCAAATTCATCTTCAAGTTTTATTTTGTGTACAGTATCAGTCCTGACATCGACCGCTATAAGTTTAGACAGACTTCTCGCCCTTACGCTGGGCCTGCGATACAGAATTGTTGTAACGTTGAAGCGAGTTGCTGTACTAGTTACTTGTTTCTGGTTGATTGGTATTTTGTTGGGAATGATGCGCTCTTTCGTGAACTTACGAATTGCTTTAAATGGGGCTATAATCTGGGCAATATTATCGTTAGTAGCCTCAACCTTTTCCTACGT